CGAGGGCCACAATGGGTTCTTAAACTGGACCGGAGGGCCGGAACAAAAGCATGGATGGAGTGTTTGTGTGAACTAATATAAATTCAAAGTAAACATCATTACATAAAAGGGTACGGTCTTTTTTTTTTTTTTTTTTTAGTTTTATTCATTTCAAACGGGCCGGATCTGGCCGGCGGGCCGTAGTTTGCCCACGGCTGGATTGGCGATTGTATTTTACTATGAATTCCTCTCCTGTCCCCGGTGAAATAGTTGATTAGGGAGACACTGTGGCATGATAGAAAGAGCAGGAATTTGAGTAAAAAAAAAAGACTTGGATTTGAAGACTGGATTAAATATTGTTTGACCCTGAGCAACTTAACCTATATGAATCCCAGGTTTCTCATTTTGTAATAAGGGTAACATTATTACCTACTTTTGAGCCTCGGTGCAAGGGTTAGAAATAATGCGTGTAAAACTTTGATCATATGCCTGGATGTAGTAGATGCTGAGTAAATATTTGCATTTTTGCTTTATGTAATGAAACATATTTCATCATTAGCCATATCAATGATGGGAATGCATGTGAGGTTGATCACCGCAGATATGCTAGCAGAATTCACTTTTGAATAACAGATAGCATGTGTTGTCTTGAGGAAAAAAATCACCACTGCCTTTGTAATGATGTCCTCATTACATTATGGCCACAGATGAGTGGTTCCCTTGTTCGCATATGTCAACTATTTCCTCTCTGAAATCACCTCTCAACAGCAGTGCTACCGTGCAGTAGGTGGACAATAGATGAATAGGACAACAGTCAGAAAAGAAGACTGATGCCACCTTCATCTATTACATGTTTGATTTATTTATTCATTTACAAAGCAACAAGTATTTGAAAGTTTTAACTCTGTGCAGATCATGCTAGTAGCGTACAATATTGAACTAGAAACAGGTCCCATTCCCGATGAATTTACAGTTTGGGACAGGAAGAATCAATATAGACATACATGGTTATGAAATAAATGTATGAAGGTTCTGGTTTAGTTGCCACCTTGGAGCAAAACTCAAGTGGTGGCCAGAGAAGAAAATTGTGCGTTACAATTTTGCATCCCCAAAGGTGAACCATATTCTCCATATGGCTTGGAGTTGGAATTACTAAAGTAATGTAAGAATGTATTTAGACTGATGGAAAGGAAATTGGGATTATCCTCAAGCCTGTGTATTTATTAAAATGCTGATTAAAATACATACATATAAATGAAATCATTTTTCCCACTCAAGTTCCTCACAATGAAAAATTACACCTGTAACTCAAATTGGCCACACATTTGAAAGAGCATAGATTTCCCTCTGTACTTTCTATTTTTTTTTAATGTAAGCTTAAATAGAAGATAAGCATAACACTCAAAGTCTGGATATCCATTTTTGAATAAAGGAATTTCCGAATACTGCTGTAGAACAATGCAGGCAGTGCTCTCATTTTTATGTTTATTAAAATATGTACTTCAGCTTTTATCTGGATGCAATTTGGTAAATGCCACCAATTTAGTTTAGATTTTATTGTTACAGTGTTACAGTTTTGATAGCACTGGGCATCTCTTCCTGTTAGTTTGTTCTGCTGCTTTCAAGAATGGTATTTAATCAGTGTCCCAGCTCATGTGATGTGTCTCACTTATAGATCCCTTTGCACCAGAGAGAACGACCAAGTCTTCTAAAAACTGACAGTTTTTCAGGGGATTCACAACTGATCACATCCAATTTGGGGGAATTGTGACCTTTCATACATTCTTTTATACAATTATTTCTGGGGGGAAGGCAAAGTAGATTTTGACGGAGCCCAGTGAATGGCACATAGTAGGTACTCAGTATGTTTTAAAAAGATGTAAATAAATGAAACAAAATATTTGCTGTGTAATTCCTTGAAATATGCTTATTTCAAAGTATCAGTGTCATAATACAGTGGTACTGCTAATGGGGTGTCTCGTGTTTGAGAAACTAAAATATTTTTAAGGATTTGTTATTAGAGAGAAGAAATTATAATACAGGCAAAGAAAACACCACATTCTGGCTGGAAATCTGTTTCTAAAATGACATTATTTCAGATGGCATAAGTTAGGATTTTTCACTTGGTAGCATCCCCCGGATCACATACCCTACCAGAGGGTTATAAAAAGAAAAGTTTTATCATGTAAAATAATGTAGCCTTTTATGCTAAGCAAAATTTGATTGTGAACACTAATATGCAGAGTGTAACATTTTATTTAATAACCTGGAGTTATTCCCAGGTGATACTGAAGAGTAGTATGCTGTTAGTAAAGAGTGTGGGGCTCCCAGGAACAAATGACAAGAAGGATATACACTTATTCCTCCTAATTACATTTTTTTTTTACAATTGTTTGTGTACATTGAGAAGTATTTGCATTAGTTAATTATTTCTTTTCCTACTTTTTTGTCACCTTTATATGTGCTTAGTGAAGCTTGCTATACATTATTTAGGCCTGAACTGAAGGTTAATGTCATTGTA